TATTAATCTAAATTTAATATGTATTTATAAATACCATTTATTAATATATAATATATTATGATAAAATTGTCATCAAATGATCTAAAAAAGCGGCAACACTTTAAACAATTTTGCCACACGCTGAACTGTCATTAAAATTTGAAGTATTCCTATATCAGTTGCGTACAATTGTCTAATCTATTTAATTAAAATTATTATTTTGTGGAATATTAGACCAAAAGAGTTATTTCATAAAATTTATATTATTAATAATAACAAATGTTTTTGATTATTTAATCAATATAATTCTAAAATTCCCAATATAATGATGATTACATTTTTCTGATTATTATACCACGTTGACATTTATGAAAGATCGAGCAGAAAATTTGAACTCGTAAGTTGAAGTTTTGGAAATTTTAAATATAAGTGACGCCACTTCATATAAATTGTGACGTGCAACGTTTTTACTTTGAAAAATGGTATATTGTCTTATCTATGCAAACGAAGAGTCGACAAAAAAATATTAATATTATATATTTTTTTTTCAGGTCATAATAAAACTAAGTGCCCAAATAAGTGAAATTGTATATTTTTATAATAAATATGTTATTTTTATAAGAAGTCTTTTAATTTTTAAAGTAGTGTAAATATTATGCAATGATGTCTGATAGAAACAACCGTACTTCCGTCAATTCGTCCCTTTTTTTTACAATTTTACAAGCAAACCCTGACCTACATATGCCTTGTTACCACTGACCAGAAGGCCATACCCATTCCTTCAACGCAGAGCAGTCTTCGTAGAAGTGGGTATACAGATTTCTATTATCTACACATTCCAACTACCTCGCTGACACTTCTCCAAAGCCGATTAGACTAGTTTCGTCAGGGACATAGATTCTAACATCCGATTCATACCACCTCAATCATTCGAAACACATTCCTACTTTACAAAACTGAACCAAGCCAGAAAAGTCAAAAGGCGGAGTACTACTGAAAAAAATGAGCTTTAAATGAACCAGCAGGAAAGCGTGGAGCCTTGTGGAAAAATTAGATACCGATACCAACTCTCACATTTCACAAATTACGCCAAATAGCTCTGACCAAATTTTCAACAACAGTGAAAGCGTCCACAACACCTGCAAGTGCTGTGGAGTTTATTGAGCGGGGCTATGAACAACTTATGAAAACATAGGCAATTTCCATCGATCTAACAGATGTCTACGACACTGTATGGAGAGTAAGCCTAGCATTAAAATTCTTAATAGTTACATTTGCCTTACTATTTCTTCTCCTGAACATTGCTCCTTATTTGCTCAGAAGTAGAATTAACGTCCAGATAATATGATATTAGAAGATGCTCCTAACTAAAATACAAGACATAGGAGATACAGTGGACGCCAAATCTGAAGAATCAGCGCACAAACCTGATTTCGTTTACTTAAAAGTCGACACGCACACTTACACTTTAAGCCTTCTTCTGGCTTACTGTCAGCGTAACTACTTTTTAGTAACGATTGTTCATGTACAGATGGAATTGTTTGTTTCTAGTGTCTGTATTTGCATAGTGACTGATGATTTGGACAACGTCTGATATCGTGGAAGATAAAAAGTGTAGATCCGTGATATCAGGAAAAAGTGGTGAAATAATATTTAATGTATTGAAATATTTTGATAAAAAAAAGAAGATATCAAGACGAAAACTTTAGAAGATATCAAATAGCAAACTTCACAAGCATCAGGTAAAAATATTATGTAATTTATTTATAACATTCTTCAAAAAGTTGTGCCGTTGTATCTTCATGGTAGTCGACGCAGAAGTCTTTAATATTCTTTGCAGAAAGTCACAGGGCATTTGGAACCCAACCATTTTCTGATCCAGCATGTAAAATCGGTATTTTTTCCCTTTATTTGACGGAGCTTTTGTCTTACATTTACCGAAGGAATCGGCAAATCCTTTAGGTCGCGTTGAATGTGTGTCAAATCATGTCTCGTCGAATTATCGGTCGATTTTCAGAACGGAATTTTCTTATCGAAGTTATATACTCATAACGCTATTTTTGTAATCTATGAGATTCCATAATTACTTGTCTTTTGTCAATTATACGATATCGAAAGCCCATACTTTTCAAAATTTTCGATAAGCTGGTGAGGCTACAGCTTATTTGGGTTTCGTCAACATTGAGCCGTTGCTTTGGAGCTCTTAATGTAGGGATGCGTTACTCTTGGTACATGGTATAGACTTTTGTACATACATGGTATGTCAACATAATTATGGAAGATTCTAATTCCAAAATAGGGAAGGGCAGCTTTGAAGACGTAGTTGGACCCTTTGGTCTTGGAACAAGGAACTAAAGGGGCGACCGTCTTATACAATTTTGTCAAGAAGAAAACATGAGAGTTATCAACACATGGTTCAAACGCCACCCCGTCGCCTTTATACTTGGAAATCTCCAGCCGATAGAGCTCAGAACATAATAAGAAATCAAATAGACTTCATTCTTATCAACGGTAGATTCAGCACAACTGTCAAAAGAGCTTGCACATACCCTGGAGCAGATGTCCCTTCTGACCACGTACTATTAGTGGCCGTCATAAAGATCGCTCTTTCATGCAAGAACAAGCCTGAAACTCAACAACAGATAGCACTGGACAAACTGAAAGACCCAATGATACAAGCAGAAATAAGCAATGAAATAAACGCACAAATTCAACTATTGACGACAAACATTGCCGAAGATCTAACACCAACATGAAATACGATTACAAGTGCTGTAACAGACATCATGAAAACAACTTAGGGTACAAACGAAATAACAAGAGGCAAAAATGGATGACCGAAGAAATACTATTACTAATGGAAGAACGACGAAGACACAAGAATAACCAAGATGGCAGCAATATGTATGAAAACATTAACAGACAAATAAAAGCAAAAATAAGAATAGCAAAAAATGAATGGCGTAAACAACAATGTATCGATCTAGAACATTTACGACAGCACGACGACCGTAATTTACATAAAAAGCTTAAGGAGACTGCTGGAATATACAGAAAACGAAGACCAACTACCATAGTTAATCAGGATAACCAGATAGTGGTGATATAGACTATATATAGATATAGACCAAAAAGACATAAGATGCATTGAATACTGGCATCAAACGGCACAGCTAAAAATAGACAATTCTATATCCAAACCCATACATATAAGAAGGGGCGTTCGACAGGGATGTGTGCTTTCCCCTCTTTTATTTAACATTTATTCGGAAGCCATATTTCAAGAGTCTTTGGAGGATGCAAGGATGGAAATCAAAGTGAATGGAGTATTGATCAACAACATACGATATGCTGATGATGGTGTCTTAATTTGTGACAACATAGTCGATCTTCAACAACTTGTCACTATAATCGGAGAATACAGTAAGCGAATGGGATTAGAGATTAATACCAAAAAAACCAAATTTATGATCATCTCCAGAAACTTGGATGCACTTGAAAACTCCACCATAACACTGAATACTAGGTCCATTGAAAGAGTGAGCAAATTTAAATACCTGGGATCGTGGTTTTTTGAAGACTGGGCATCGGACAGGGAAGTAAAATGTCGCATTGAGCAAGCCGACAAGCTTTCGTAAAATTCAAGAAGGTACTGACTTGTTCAGAGTTCGATCTTTAACTGAGACTAAGGTTTACTAAGTGCTACGTGTGGTCAGTTCTGCTATATGGCGTAGAGGGCTGGACACTCAAAACGAGGGATATAAACAGATTAGAAGCTTTCGAAATGTGGCTCTATCGCCGTATCCTAAAAATATCATGGACAGCGAAAATCACAAATATAGATGTCCTTAAAAGAATAAACCAAGAACGTCAACTTTTCGAAACCATCAAGAAAAGGAAAACGGCGTATCTAGGTCACATCATGCGAAATGAAAAATACCAGTTCCTAGAGAAGGCAAGAGAGGAATGGGACGCAAAAAAATGTCCTGGCTCCGAAACATAAGGCAATGGACAGGGATTAACGACATACAATATCTGATACATATTGCAAGAAATAGAGAATTAATGGAAAATGTGATCGCTAACATCCATTAGTAGATTTGCATCTGAAGAAGATAGACTTTTCGACGTATCAAATCCTTATCGACTTTGTCCATACATTTGGTGGAACTGGAATCTTTACGTTTTTTTCTTGTTTCTATGGAATTTGATGTAATTATTTTTACTGTGGGAGTTATTTTCGTCAAATCGCATATTTCACTCGTAGCGGAATTTGCGTCAAGTCCTCTTTTAAGTAAAGTACTGTAGATAGTTTTTACAATTTGCTTTGCATCTACAGATAAATGTTTCTTCTTTACCGGAACACTAAAAGAAGCCCCATTATTATTACCCCACGGACACCACATAATAATAGAAAATGTAACGAATAAAATGAGTAATACTTCTTAACACTTTCCGTGACACATAAAGATAAACTTATTATATAAATACCTCAAAACCACTTAAGGTGATTATCAAACCTAGGGCACTACCATCGAATTCGATATTAATGAAATTAATATGAGTTTGGATTGTACGCAATTAAATCAACATTAAGAAATGAAGATTGACAAATGTTAACAGGAAACATATTTAAATTTTACCTGAAACCGGACATTTTATACTATTATCGGTTAACATAGGATGTTCATCATAGTCGGTACTAATTGAAGTTAACCATTTACTTCTAAACAAACTTTACCAATTGTATCTACGGGTGGGCGTGCTCGATGAAGTGTCATAAATGCACGCCCTTGGTTCTTCATATTTGGCGACGCCTGTATCATAATTCTATTCTATTACTGGAACTATTAATCTACCTATTCTACATATCGAGATTCACTGCATACTTATTGCTGCTATTAGTTTTAGTAACTTTATAATTTACCCTGTTAATATAAAATTAAATATTTATTAATTTGGATCTTTAGTTTCTCCGTTGGGTAATTACAATATAAAAATGAAAATAAAAGCAAATAAAAGAAAAATGTTTATTTACAATGATTTACGCATGTTCAAATTCTTTTACTGAAATTGTGATTCTATTTTTTCTTTTTCCGGAACTTTTCTAAATCCGGGTAAACTATCTGTCCCTCGGCAGCGGCCTGTGTTAGCTAAAAATTATAAAAAATAAATTCTTCAGCACTATCTATATGATTTGTTGTGCTAATAATTATATATACAGTGAAGAATATTTTTTAATCAAAAGTTTATAAATAGAAATATTTAGCTGAATCCGATTTATATGTTAGAACTAGTCGTGGTATCTCTACTATTGCTTCTTTGATTACCATGTCCAAGATTCTATCTTCTTTTCAGTAAGGAGGGGAGGTCCAGATCTGATCCGTCTCAGACAATTGGATCTTTGAAAAAAGGTAACTAATCAGAACCCCAAAATTATTTTAGCTGAATTACGATGATTATGATTTATCTTTCATGAATACGCTAATAGTCGAGTCAAGTAAGAAACAGTGACAAAATCGTAGGATGGAAATCGATCTTATGATGAACCTGCAACTTAGGATCCGGTAAAAAAGAAGAAAATTGCTCCATTGAAAGCCAAGGAAATATAATGATTGTTTATAACTTCGTCGCAAATGCCAGTCACCTTTGACAGGTTGTATCTTAGGAACGTAAAAGACGAAAACTTGAGTATTTGGGACATGTGATGAGAGGGCAAAAATACGCATTATTACAACTTATTATGCAGGGCAAAATCCGAGGAAAGCGAAATGTGGGAAGACGAAGAATATCCTGGCTTAAGAACTTAAGGGAATGGTTTGAATGCAGTAGTGCAGAACTTTTTAGAGCGGCAGTCAACAGAGTCCGCATAGCCATGATGATTTCCAACCTTCGATAGAAGATGGAACTTAAAGAAGAAAGAAGAAAAAGAATCTTAGGAACCTCTGCTCATAATTCAACATTTTTCTTTTAAATTAAGCGTCTTGTTGAGTATTCTCCAACGCCGTTTTTTGAATTTAAAGTTGAACTAATAGTTACCTATTTGTCTATAAGCCAAAAAATTGTTTAGTACGTTACGTAGATGGAGTGCTTTTTTATATGTAAAAAAAATTGGAAAACTTGTATATGGTGATAGGTGTGGGGTGAACTGAGTAGCTCTACACTTGACGCAGCCGGTCCCAAGCCTGGATAAAAGAGGAGGGGAGAGGAGTAACACCTCTTACGCACTTAACACTCGGTTACAGATGAACCGGATGATTGCCGGCATAAGCAATCATCCACTTATTGACCAACGGCTTTGGGCGGACGAGTAAGTAAGCGGCAGGGCACTCAATCGCAATGGTAACAGAACCAGTAGACATTACTGATCTCGGAAGCCGAGATCCGGCAGGAGAGGAACAAACCTAAAAGATCAGAGGTTCTCTCAGGTCGTCAACAAGCGAAATCTCAGTGATGTATTGAGAAAACCATCTACCAAACCAGTCATCCAACTAAATACACTGAAAAAAATAGGCACTTGGAACGTGCGGAGTTTGTACCAACAAGAAAAAGCCCATAATCGAACACAAGAAATGAGACGCTTAAAGATAGATATATTTGGATGTAATGAAGTCCGATGGCCTAACAGTGGCAGAAGTGTCATAGACAACTACGTGTTTTACTATTCCGGAGATAACAACACACAAAACCGCAATGGAGTAGCAATAGTTATCAGCAAAGAAATCGAAAGATCAGTCAAAGGGTTCATACCGATAACAGATAGAATGGCACTATTGAAATTAAACGCTATACCGTGTAACATAAACATCATTGTAGTGTATGCACCAACATCTGATAGCACAGAGGAAGAAGTAAACAGCTTCTACAGTGAGTTAAACAAAACATTTAATGAAACTAAATAAGAGGCTTGTAAATTTGATTTTAGGTGACTTCAACTCGAAGGTAGGGAAAGGAAGAGATGGAGAAGTGGTAGAACACGGACTGGGAACACGTAATCAAAGAGGTGAAAGACTAGTTCAGTTTTGCAAAGATAACGAACTCATTATCAAAAATACGTGGTATAAACTCACAAATCGAAGAATATATACAAGGAAAGCACCTAGAGATGATGGTAAAATTACAATAAGAAACCAAATAGATTACATAATAATAAATCAAAGATTCCGAAATGCCATAATATGGGCTAAAGCGTACCCAGAAGCAGATATAACAAGTGACCACAATTTAGTTCTAGCAAAATTTCTAAACTTAAAAAAGTTAAAAATAACTGCCAAAACACCGAGAATCAATCTGAAAAAACTAAAAGAAACTGATATATACCAACAAATCAAAGCACAAGTGCACAAAGAAGTTCAGGAAGTAGAAAGGCAAAAGCAATTGACAGCAACAGATAAATGAAGGAACGTAGAGGAGATCTTGAAAAATATCACAAAACAAAAACTTCAAGAAGACACATCACCTAAAAATAAACAATGGATTACACAAGAGATAAAAGAACTGATGACGGAAAAAAGGGCACACAAGAATAAAAACGAACAACAGTAGAAAAAAATTAATAAAATAATCAAACAGAAAATAAAAGAAGCTAAGGAACTGTGACTATCAGAAAAGTGTGAAGAAATAGAAAGGTTAGATAAACAACATGACAGTTTTAACATACACCGGAAAATCAAAGAGACAGCTGGCAAGTACAATAAGAAGGGTATCGGAAATATCATGCATAAAAATAACAAGATAATAACGGAATGTACAGATAAAATAAACAGATGGGAAGAATACATAAAAGCGCTATTCGAAGATGACGAGAAAATTGAGGTCATTGAACCAAGAGGAAGAAATGCAACGCTAAAACGTATAAAAAATGAGAAGGTCACGGGACCGGATAAAATACCTACAGAAATCTTAAACACCGAATAATGGCAAAAATACTGCAGAACACAGAATTAGATGACGAAGACGTGAGAATCATTGCCAATCTATACCGATATCAGAAAGCCATAATACAAATAGACCAACAAAAATCGAAAGAAATACCTATAAATCGTGGAGTAAGACAAAGATGTGTGCTTTCCCCTTTGCAAAATCTTATCTTATAGGAAATACAATTATCGCTATTTTATTTCAGTAGGACTTTGCTCTAAAATGATTCGTTTTAAAGTTAGTAGCAAGGAAAATAGGAAAAAAAAAACGATTTTTTTATTAGAGTAGTTTTTAGTAATTAATAAATACTTTAATTTTTTTATTAATATTTCCGACCTATTTGAGAGAGGATAAGTCAGTTATATTCTCAAAACAGATTCGGTCTGGTATATCAAAGCCATTCCGAGCTTATCAACTCACTATGTATTTTATTGGGGAATTCGATTGGATTTCAAAATTAAAATATTTCAGACACAACAGATATTTATTTTAAATAAAAACATCGACAGGACAACATACAAATACAAATAACTGACCAGAAAGTATTTCGATCAAAATTTTCCTACTGTTTTTTATGAATGTCTTACCATATTTAACATCATTTCGTACTTTAACCTTAACATATTATTTTCTTCCTCCAGTTCCTGTATTTTCTTCTTCAATCGTTGTCTATTCCTGTATGTCATACCTTGTTGAGGTTGTTGGTCTTCTGTAAAGAAAATAAAAAGAATACATTTTTTTCGGTCTGTAATCGTCAAGAATACTTTCCTTGTAACATGACATTCTTTTTTAGTAAATACTATTTGAAAATGTGTTTCAGTTAATATTAATTACTAATTTTAGTATATATTAGGTATAGTGGTATAAGATTAAAAAAATGTAGGTATCTAAAGCTTTTTGGGGGTTTATCAATACAAACGATAAGTCGTGTATTGAAGACCTTGGCGTGAAAAGAATGCAAGCCACAAAATCTAAAAAAATTATATTTTCAGTGCAGTTCAAAATAAACGGTACAAGCCACATATAACCTAGTTTCACTATTTTCCAATAGATGGCAATGGTGCGGCAAAATATCCTTTTCATAATATCGCTAAACGGTGAATACTTTCATAACAACGGTATAGTAGTCTCGTTTTTCCGTGAGACTGTGCAAAAATATATGTATCTGTAATAAAATTATTCAACAAAAAGGTACCTACTCTACCAGGAGTCTGTAAAATTTTCAATGACTCAGACGTATACAAAGTTTCCAGATTCCACTCGATATTAACATTCAGACGTGCCTGGTATAATCTTTTAAAATATGAACCAGATATGAACAATCAACCAATTAAGTTTTCATCGAACTTACGATAAGTCCACGTGGACTAACGGCCAATGAAAACATCGGATATCGCTGTTATGACAAATCATAATGCATTATCTGTTGTCGGTAGACTTATTCATACTTGGGGTAAGATTATCAAATAAGGGATCAGGTTTCGACCGTCCAGTGCCGAATGTACGGGATGGGGAAAACTTAGGTAGGCAAATTTTTATAATATTTTATTTTTAAATTGCGGATATGACCAACAGATTTTTGGGAGACAAGAATATTTTTAATAAAATCATAACTGCTACAGCGTTCAGTTAAATTCAAATTTCACATAGTGAACCGCAAGTTAGTTTGGTAGTGACTTTTTTCAGTGTTCTTTATACGGAAAACATTTTATATTTTACGTTTTTTACTTTTTTTGATACGTTTTTACGTGATTATGTTTTTATACGTTTGATAATTTTAAAATATTGCGTCCGTGGTGCGATAATAATTATGTAGCTAAAGAGACAATGGAACCCTCTAATTGATTGGAAGATTTACAAAGGCGTGTAGTAAAACGTAAACGACATTTTCAATACCTTTCTGATGATGCCAAACGTATGCTAAAAAATGTTTATGAAGGACTGTGTGCTGAATTGTCTAAATCAGAGGCAATTGCAGAAACATGTTTTTTAACCAGAGTGCCCATAGCAATCTGCTACAAAATTATAGGAGAAACATCTTCTTCTAGACAGAAGAGAAAGGATTGTGGCAAATTCAGAAAAATAGAACCGCACTTATTGAATCTATAACTAGAACAATATACCAAATGTATGCGGCTAATATTTTTCCAACTATTGAAAGCCTTCGAAGTGAATTAGTTCGAAAACGCATTCTCTCGTGTTCAGCAACAACACTTCGATTATTTCTTAAAGCCAATAATTTTAAGTACATAACTATAGACAAGAGACAGACATTAATGGAAAGTACTAGAATAATTTCTTTAAGAAACAATTATATCAGACAGATAACTGAGTATCGAAAAATGAAATATCATTCAAGATTAATGAAAAAAACTTCAAATAATAGTTGGAATAAATTAAAAATTCAGGAATTTTTATTCACGGAAGATTTGTATTTTAAGACATCTTATTTTAAAATGCAATTGTTGGGATGTTGTTCATAGTAAACAGTACGAAAAGGAATATGATGTTGACAACTGTGCTTGTAGTAACGGGCATACTGTGTTTAGACTTCCTCCTTATTATTGTACATTGAACCCAATAGAGTTAATATGGGCTCAACTTAAAGGAAATATAATGAGAAGAAGTTAATTCTCCAGTTAATTAGAAGAGAAGTCACAAAAATTACAGCAACCAACTGGAAAAATATAATAAAAATAAAACATGTCATCGGAGTGGAAAATGACTATTTTAAATATTTACCAGCATTAACCAAATTACCTATAAATTTAGATGATACGAGTGATACTAGTGATAACAGTGATTCTGAGTAGATAGTAAGTACTTATTAGGTGTTAGTTGAAACCTTTATTTCTATTTTAATTGTAGATATTCTTATTTTGCTTATATATCTTTGAAAACAGGGTATAAACACACTTCTTGATAGGACAAAAATTATTAATGTTTTAGGGGAGGATGTCAACTGAAACTGTCACTGTCATTCTCGCTGAATAACTACTATTATTATCAATGTTTTATATAGATATTATTATTTTACAATAAGTTCTGTTCAGTCGAGTCGATTAGTATTATCACTCCCAAGATATATCACAGAAGTTAAAGACACCGATATTTTTTATTTAAACTTTATAGAAAATGAAACTTTGGTAAATAAAATTAAATAAAAGTAAAAACTTTTATTTAATTTAAAATTAGATATCTACGCTACTGTTCTACTACTATGTACTACAATAAAGTAGTGGTAACTCTAACAGCGTTGCCATTTTACTAGTATTTTGCTTTCTTTGGTCTCTGTAAATTTTCTCACGAAATTACGTGCCGACTATACAAGCCATCAATCATGAGTGAAACACGACAAAAATAAGTGTGAGTTTAACTCAGTTTAAAGAACAAGGACTATACTGAGAGTGATATTGGAAACAGTTCATCATTCTCTGAGGAACAACAGGTAAGTTTGTTAAGTTTTGTGGCATGCCCCCTTTTGCAAGTCATGTGGCTTATTTTTTGGCATGTACCATTTTCTCGAAATTTTATTAAATCGGTTCTTTGTCTTTTGGGTTATGCTATGGTTATTTTTACAGTGCCGAACCACATTTTCCGACGAATTATTTGCGGGGTGTTAAAAAATTAAATTTGGATGATAAATGAAAATTTTCACTTCTGACATGTGAATTTTTTTAAGATCCTCTTAACCGTTTGTTATTATTTACAGGAACTCAATAAATCTCCTCAAGGACCTCAAAAACTTCAAAACTTATCGCTTTTGCTACCATACATACCCGAAGTTCACCAATTTTATTTGGAAATTGGTGCAAAAAATTTAGTTATTCAAGAGGCTGAGCAATAAACAATGGCAGTAGCAGATATATATATATATATATATATATATATATATATTATATATATATATATATATATATATATATATATATATATATATATATCTAATGAAGAATACCTGTCAAGTGAAAACTACGTTCAGATTATTTTTTATGTATAAGGATACAAGCCACAATTTTCTCAATAATTAAAAGTTAAAAAACAAAATTGATGCTTTTTTCAATTTCTTTTTATTGGTAAGATACTCAATGACCAGTTTTATCTATGTATCTAAAATCAAATAAATTGCACTTAAATTAGATTTTGTGGTTTTAAAGTGATTGTCAAACATTAATTTTTTCTAAAGTAATTGTATGTGGCATACATCCTTTTCAAGTCAAGGACTTCTATTCATCTTAAAATTAATTAAACTTTGAAAATAAGGCTATTATCGAGCACAAATTAATTAAATCAAGCCCAAGTACTTTCGCTTAAAATAGCATCTTCAGTGGCATTTCGTCAAAATGTAAACTATCATGCAAGCAAACATTTTGACGAAATGCCCCTGAAGATGCTATTTTAAGCGAAAGTACTTGGTCTTGATTTAATTAATTTGTGCTCGATAATAGCCTTATTTTCAAAGTTCATTTATTCGAGCATTCAACGTCATTTCATTTAAAATTAATTTTTTTATAGTCCAGTTACTGGCAATGACATATTGAAAGTAATAAATTATTTTAAAATTATTAGGTCTCAGAATTTTTAAGAATAACGTGAAAAAATCATAGAATTTCACGTGAAAATCGTATACAGCTTTTGAAAAGTTCTAAAATATATATATATATATATATATATATGGAAAATAGCTGATGACAAATGCATAAAGACGTACAACTGATGTTACTTTGTTTTTTTTTAAACAATCACAAAACGTTTCTTAGACATTGTAGAAAAAAATGATTGCAATAAAAGTTGTAGGTCTTAAAAAGTTCTTTAATTTATAAGTTTTGGCTGAATTGGCAATGTTACTCAAGCTAATTAGACTTATTAAAGCCACAATGGATGAAACTCAGGCATGTTTACGAATACAAAACCACTGGATAGACTTTTTCAAAATTTCGCAGGGACTAACGCAGGGAGATCGGCTGGCCCCAACTTTATTTAACTTGGCACTGGAGTATGCGGTTAGGCAAATGCAAACTGGACGAGGAAAACTAGCGACCAACAGGACGGAACTAACATAAACATTTCTAATAACTTTGATATTTTTTATGTCACGCGCAGTAGGCTCACTCAAAAGATGATGAAAAAGTACAATCTTAAAAAAAGGAAACTTCTATGACAAATATAAACCAAGGTAGCATATTTTCTTTAATATCATATATGAGGAATACAACAGACCCGACAATAGAAAAGGCTAACAAAAATAACAAAACAAGACGCACAGACAAAAAAAAGAAACGTAATAGGAAGAAAAGAAAATCCCATTCAAATCGGATCCTGGGATACTTATCAAAACCATGCTATTAATAGGCAAGATGTAAGAAGAAATAGCCCCAGAAATGAAAAAATGTGAACTAGAAATTTTTGCTCTGCACGAAATACGATGGAAGAATCAAGGAAAAAAGCTTTACTATGTACTTTTACTATTTACTATTCGAGAGAAAACAAATAGCGGAAAATGGGTCAGCCTTTATGGTGAATAGAATGTTAAGAGAAAAAGTTACAAGTTACCTAATACAATTCAAAGCATTTAATAGAAGAATATTTTACATCAGACTTAAACTGATCAAAGTCATACTTACAGACTTAAGTTGATCAAACTGATCAACTTACTGACATCAAAGTCAGTTGGGCTTTTTATCTAATAAATGTAACAGTGATGCTGTT